AGTTCAGTGACATGAACCAGTGACTTTAGATATCATTGGTCATATCCCAATATCATGCTAGATTCAAAGACCATTTTTATTAGCCTTTGTGACAAAAAATGAACTGAATAATAGCTGTGCATTACAAAGCCCAGTGAGGAAGAATAACTCAACATCCTCTAAAGTAGAAGACACAGAGATCCGTCCAGGAGTATCATTTGAGAATAACTTCTCACTTGTTAAAACATATATTCTTTTATCCATCCCTCTTAAGTGTAGGAACTAATCTATGCATTCTGGAAGGTGAGGCAACTTTACTAAACCTGATACCGTGGCTGCCTGAGGATTCCTCTGCCTCTTAAAAGTTGGACTAATGCCTATGGATATCATCTTTTATCATTTTAAAAATGTTCTTTTTAAATGAAGAATTTGCCCTGCTGCTCATATTTATGAACTCTTCGGGTAGGGGAAAAAGGAACTTTCCCAGATCTTAAATTTGTAAAGAAGACACTATTAAAAATAAAGATTTGCATGTCTTAAAAAAAAAAAGAAAAAAGAAAAGTTACTGGTCTGACAGAGACTGAAGGAACCTCTGAGACTATAACCCTAAGACACACTTCTGATCCGGAACTAAGCTATTCCTGGAGACCACCTCCCAACCAAACAATAGATAAGCCCGTAAGATAAACAATAACACCCAAGAGGAACACACTCCTTAGAACAATTAATTACATGAGATCAAAAGGTCAATATCTTCCCAAAAGCAAAGATGAGAAGCCAGGAAGGGGTTGAAAATCAGGATTAAAGGAAACGGGGAATCCAGGGTGGAAATGAGAAGAGTGCTGACACATTGTAGGGCATGAAACCAAGGTCATGAAATACTGTTTGTACAAACTATCGAACAGGAAACTAATTTGCTCTGTAAACTTCCACCTAATGCACAATTAAAAAAGAAAAGAAATGACAACTGAGTCACAAAACTTGATTTTTATAGTTAATCAATCAGGAAGAGCTGACAATCCTCAAAAAGATTATTGTTAAGGCTTAGTCTTCGAGTCTGACTCAACTTCAAGTATGTTTGGTATCCTTGGCAGAAGATCTGTGATAAGTAGGGGTGCAGCTGGTAAGTTTTTCATCTGTTATGGGCACTTACTATACCCCAGAACAAGTCTAAGTCTAATCCTTGTTTTTCTTCATCCCATTCTCCTCCCACACAAGTATCATTTAATTCAGCAGCATTATATACTTAGTTGCACTATTAACCTGTAATTTAAATTTTCAGTTTGAACACAATCAATATTTAGGATCAAGTAGAAGACTCTGGTCATTTTTACATCATCTAGTAAATATATCCTGGGAAGGAAGCAATGAATGATCCATAGAATTACTCTTATAAGCAGAGTGATATTTAAATAGTTAACAGCTGGTATGAAATGGGCAAACCAATCAGAAGGAATCCTTGGGGCACCAGGGCTTAAGTAAGTGCTTAAACCTTTAGTTGCTGGATGGTGGGGACGTTAGTGGGCCCTAGGGAAGTGGCCAAGACGGCAGTAGTTACACTTGGAGCGTTCAGGGCAGCAGCTTTTATCAACCAGTTCAGAAGTATTTCTGTAATTCCTCAACTATTACCACCACATCAGTGGGGCCTGGCTGAGTACCAGACTGTAGTGAGGTTCACTTTGTGCTAACTATAATAGCGTGGGCCCCGTCTTTCTGGAATAGTATGTGTTTAACATGAAGAAGAAAGGCTAACTTGCAGCTCACTTGCATGAAAAATCATCTTGCAGATATTGCCCTAGTTTATGAAATAACTGTCACTGAAAGTTTCTCAACCTTGTCATGGCATATTTGTTAAAACAGTGTCCCAGTTTGGGCCATATTTGACTTGAGCTACTGATTGGCAGAGAAGTGGCACACACCCTCAATATACTGAGGGACTCACTCTGGAAGCTGCTACCACCTGTGGTGACCCTTGCTGCAACACTGGTGTACAAGTTTTTCGATGTGGCACTGGCTGCTCCCTTGATACAAATATCACTGGAGGTGAAGGGCACATCTTCCCATGGCTCCAGCTCTTCCCAGAGAAGGCACCCTGCCTCTATTTCCAATGCAGGGATGTTAGATTCCAAGGAGGGCACCCCAAGGCATTCCAGGAGCATCAGGCCAGCACTTCTTAACCCTTTTCATGCCATGGCCCCTTTGGCAGGTAGCTGAAGCCTATGAGTCACTGCTCAGAATAAAGTTTTTCTTTTTATTATTATTATTTTATTGTGGTAAAATATTCTAACAATAATTTAGCCATTTCAACCTTTCTTAAGTGTACAATTCTGTGGCATTAATTACATTCACCATGTAGTGCAACCATCACCACTATCTGTTAAAAGTTTACTTCACCCCAAACAGAAACTCTATACCTTTTCAGCAATAACTCCTCCCCCTAGCTTCTGGTAACCAGTAATAAACTTTTGTTTCTATGCATTTGCTTATTCTAGATAGTTCATATAGATGGAATCATACAATACTTGTCCTTCTGTGTCTGACTTATTTCACTTGGCATGTTTCTAAGGTTCATCTATGTTGTAGCATGTATGAGAACTTCATTTGTATTTATGGCTGAGTAATATTCCATTGTGTGTATATAGCACATTTTGTTTATCTATCCATCTGCTGATGGACTCTTGGGTTGTTTCTTTTAGCTATTGTGAATAATGCTGCAATGAACACTGGTGTACAAGTCTGTGTCTGAATCCTTGTTTTCAAGTCTTTTGTGTATATACCTAGGAGTGGAATTGCTGGGTCATATGGTAATTCTATGTTTAACTTTTTGTGGAACTGCTAAAATGTTTTCCACAACAGCTGCACCATTTTACATTGCCATGAGTAATGCACGAAGGTTCCAAGTTCTCCATATCCTCAACACTTATTATTTTCCTTTTTTAAAAAAAATAATAATAATAGCCATACTAGTCAGTGTGAAGTGGTATCTCATTGTGGTTTTGATTTGCATTTCCCTAACTATAGGGCCACTATGAGTCAGAATCGACTGAATGGCAATGGGGTTGGTTCATTGGAATGACTTTTGAGCATCCTTTTATGTACTTACTGGCTATTCATATATTTTCTTAGGAGAAATGTCTATTCCAAGTCCTGTGCTCATTTTTAAATTGGGTTGTCTTTTTGTTGTTGAATTATAGGAGTTCTTTATATATTCTAGATATTAAATCAGATTATTAAACATTATGTTAATAAGGAAGCACACATATTGCCAGAGCACAAATTTGGTTGTATAGTTACCAAATATTCTGTAGGTTATCTCTTCATTTTTTTTTTGATAAAGTCCTTTGATGCACAAAAGTTTTTAACTTTGCTGAAGTCCAATATATCTATTTTTTCTTTTACTGCTCATGCTTTTGGTACCATATCTAAGAATCCATTGTCAAAAACAAGGTCTTGAGGCTTTACTCCTATGTTTCCTTCTATGAGTTTTATAGTTTTAGTTCTTTACGTCATTGATCTATTTTGAGTTAATTTTCATATATGGTGTTATGTATGGGTCCCACTTCATCAGAAAAAAGTTTTTAAATGCATAAAATAAAATACATGGGATTATAAAGGAAATCAATTATATTGAAATACAGTTATTAAACTATTAGGATAAATCTGTGCTACAGCAATATGTATGCTTCCTTATTAACTTATTCCATAACAAATCTGGCTCGAGGTTTAATAACTACTGTAATTTGAGGTAGTGATGAGTGTAAATGATATTTTGAGATATGTGTAACAACTATGATGTGTTAAAAAACCCTATGACTTCCATTGGTGACTAAGTCACAGATACTTATCTTAATGCCACCGTGGTTTGTTGCCTACATTCATAATGGAAGGAAATGCTAAAGGTTCGTTAGATGTTAGTGAAAATAAAAAATGGCCGCTTTCCCCGCCCCCCTTTCAAGTTCACAGAACCCCCTGAATTCTCTCTCCGTTGGTTAATAATCCCTGTAGGGATAAGGTTGCCCTGAGGGCCACCATCTCACTTGAACCCCCACCCCATGCCCTGGAGGCAGGAGCCTTCATGCCACCCACATAGAGCTCAGAGCTGCTTCTTGGCCCGCTAGTATTTGCGGCCAGGAAAGGACAAGGCCTGAGGTCCTGGGTACCACTTTAAACAATCCATTCTTTACTGTTGAGGGTTTTTTTCCCAGCCTCAAAAGACTTGGAAATCAAGTTTTAAATTTCTGACACCAGTGTGACTTCCCTCACAGGTTCTCTTCATGTGTGCATCGATCCCTAGGTGATCTGGGGCAACACTGATCTTCAGTTTCCTCATCTGCGCCCACGGAACTGTTAGGATTAAATAATAGCTGTGTCCTGTAAATTGTACAGCACTATCAAAGTCTGTGCTATTATAATTTTCGAAGGTACAGTCTTTTAGGACCCATAACTGTCTATGCTGCTCCATTCCCCAAATCTCTGACACATGTTAAGTGCTCAACAAACACTTGTAGAATGAATGAATGAAGTACACATTTGCAGAGGCGATAAGGCCTGGCCCATCACCAGCACTTTTCTTTACCAACAGGTAATAAACGCCTTTCTCGCTGTGCGCTAAACTGCAACCACAATTCAAGTGCTTCTTTCCAGAGGTGGTCTCCCGGGTGGAGCCGCCAGACTTGGAGCTCGCCTCCCCATTCTTGGCCTGTCTGCCGTGTTTATTACGCCGCTCCTTCCGGGCCAGGTAAGGGGCGACGGCGGCGGCAGTGGCTGCGGCTGCGGCGGTGGGAGAGGCGTAGGGCTGGGGCCGGGCCGGGAGAGGACAGCGCCCGGAGAGCTGGTAACCGGGCCGGCCGGGAAGGCACTGCCGGCGGGCAGGGCCGGCGGGCGTGTGAGGAGGGGTGAGAGGGGTGAGGAGGGGTGAGAGGGGTGAGGAGGGGTGAGAGGGGTGGGGAGGGGCGGGGCCGGCGTCCTCGTCACTTGATAAAACGCCTGCGAATCTCCAGAGAACAACGGGCTCATTCAGCGGTCGGGAGCTGCCCGCGAGGGGGAGCGACCGGACGGAGAGCGCGACCCGTCTGGGGGTGGGATCGGGCGTAGCGGCAAGAGAAGGCGAAGGTGGCTGCAGGCGGCGCGGAAGTAGCAGCGCGTCAGGCTCGGACCCGGACCGGAGCGCATGGCGGCCGCGGGGCAGCTGTGGCTGCTTTACCTGTCCGCGGGGCTCCTTTCCCGGCTTGGCGCCGCCTTCAACTTGGACACTCGCGAGGAGAATGTGATCCAGAAACTCGGGGAGCCTGGGAGCCTCTTCGGCTTCTCACTGGCCATGCACTGGCAGCTGCAGCCCGAGGACAAGCGGCTGTGAGTTCCCCGACTCTTCCTCCCCCCACCAGGGCGCCGGCCCGCGCACGAGGAGGGGCGAGGGTGCGCCCTGTTCCAGCCCGCCAGGCGCGCCCTGGCGCTCGCGGCCGGCCCTACCCCTGCCGGCACAGGGCTTCGCCGGCCCAAGGGGTTAGTGGGCCCCGCGGGTAGCGGCCAGGACGGGCGAGCCGCGCCCACCGCCGTGTGCGCCCTGCTCGCGCTTCGCCCGGGAAGAAGGAGATCCCAAGGGCCGACCCCCTACGGCCGCGGCCCGGGTCCCGGTGCCAGGCGGGGCTGTCCTCGGACCCCGGAGAGTTTACTTTTCTTTTTTAACAACAAAGTGCTTTCCGCCTGTCTTTCACTCCGGGCTGTTTGCTGGGAACCCGGCAGGTGGCACGCTTTGCTGAGCTTCACGTGTGTATCGGGCGGGGGTGGAGTGTTAGGGTCACTGTATAGCTGCTGTGGGGCTGCTGGGAGTGTTGTACCAGAACGATCCAGGCCTTTTCCAAACTCAGGGAACACCCGGTCCTGGGGCCCGGCAGAAGTTGGAAAGCCACTTTCCTTCGTGCTTCGCGTGGTTTCCCCCGCAAGGCGGGCGCTCCAGTAGGAGATACTTTTGCACGGCTGTTCCTCCCCTCCCCCTCTCCCCGATGGATTTAACCAGGCACCTGTTCAACAGGACTAGATCAGCTGAGAAAACAAGTCCTTTTGAGTGGCTTGCCCGGCCTCCCCGCCCAGCCTCGAAAGAGTCTGGCAGAATCCGAGACCCGCGGGACCTCTGCATTGGGCGGGCGCAGCCCAGGGGTTAAAGCAAAATGTCCGATCTGAGCTGGGGCTTTGCATACAAGGTTTGCAAGTGACAACCCCCCACCATAGCGGTGCTCGTCCCAGGAGAAAGTGGCAGCCGGCACTCTTAACCTCTCTTTTTCTATTTTAAACGACTGTAAGTGTTTGGTTCCCACATGATCGAACTATTTAGGCTGGAGAGGGTATTTTGAAGTTTCGTTGCCTTAATCGTTGTGGGGTTGCTTTCTTGATCTGTGTTACTGAAAAATAGACTAACAACAAAAGGGTCTTCCCCCACCCCCAGAGGCCCTTAGTTGAACCGAGGCCCTTCCAGGACCAACAAGACCAGAGAAAGCAAAGTGCAGTCAGTCAAGAGAGGACTTTGTGTTTAGGAGAGGCGAATGGGATTTTAGAGTCGGAGGAAACGTCTTAATTTCAGCAGTTAAGAACTTTGGAATTTGTGAGTGTTTGGGCCCCTGAATCTTAAAAGTCAGATTTTTTCTCATAACACCTGCTAACGAGGCAAAGAATTAGGGGGAGAGAAGGTGGGCTGCGTCTGCAGGCCTGCCCAGCTGTTTATACTCTGCTTTCTCTCAGAAATAATTGTTAAGCTGTGAATCTGGAATGAAAGATGGTTTCTGTTAACTCAATTAATGGATGAGGTTTTGTGTCTGTGAACATTTAGGAGTATGTAGTTGTGTACTCACCCACATGGAGAATTTGAACTTGTTAGTGCAGAAATGATTGTGGGCCGGCAAAGGGAATATATTCTCCTTGGCTTTCTCTGCACCAACTGCCAACCGAAGCTGATGGCTTCCTTGAAATTCTTGTGCAAGCAAAAATTGTGAAGGGGAAACACTGGGGCAAGAAAATGTCCTTGGGGTGGAGATTTGCGAAACATGACTTTAGCCGGGAATCTCTGTTGTCACAAGGTTAGCAGCATGCTTGCTAAAACTTGTTACTGCTGCTGGGCTTCTCTGGTATTAAAGCCACTGTGAGTAGTCCCTGGAGTAGGAATAAGCCTTGTGATTGGGGTCTGAATGTCTTCTAGAAATGCTGTTCTTAGAGACTGACAGAGGGGAGTAGCTGATCAGACCCTTGGATGGGGAGAGGCCCAGCCTAAGGAACTGTATCTTTCCCTAGAGTCCAAAGGCAGTGACTGCACTTGCCAGACTGTGGTTTATGTCAGGTGCCTCCCTGTTTTCATAAGGTACTCCAGTTTCAGGAGCAGCATTGGTAGTCCCAGGAGAACCAACATACACAGGTCATATCACATCAGTTGTCAACTTTGAAAGTTAACAACGTGTGTGTCAATAACGGAGCTGGTGAGATTGAGACCTCAGAACTCCTGGTCTGGCTTCCTGGTCTCTGCTCTATGGAAACGCTCAGTGAGAGGATTTCAGGAAGCTAGTGGGAAAGAGACCTGAGTTCAAATTCCTGCTCAGCATTTAGCAGCTGTTAACTTGCTTTAATCTCCATGAGGCGTAGCTTCTTTATCTGTTAAACAGAGGTAATATTTCTGCTTAATAGGGTGGTTTTGAGGATTAAGTGATAACATGGAAAGTGCCTCGTGTGGGTACTTGATGACTACAAGTTACTGTTAATGATGATAATAAATTTAAAAGTAGTTACTGAGTTCCTACTGTTATTGTGAGCCATGGAGTCGATTCTGACTTATAGTGACCCCGTAGGACAGAGTAGCACTGCCCCATAGGGTTTCCAAGGCTGTAAATCTTTACTGAAGCAGACTGCCACATCTTTTCTACTGTGAAGTGGCTGGTGGGTTCCAACCTCTGACCTTTCTATTAGCAGCCGAGCACTTAACCTTTGTGCCACCAGGGCACCTTGAGTTCCTGCTATGTGCCAGGTACTGTACAAGGTGTTAAACATTCTGTGATTCTAAGACTGCCTAAAAGTAACATCTAAGTAGGTCAAAGCTTATTGTAGTTTGGCTAATTGATATTTTAAACTCTCAGTCACATTTATGAAACCTCTGTTCAAAGCAACTTTAATTGGTTTTAACTAGGCTTATAACAAAAAGTAAATTTACTGAACAAGGGACTTTCTTGAGGGCAAAGAAGTAAAATATCAAAGATGTGTGAGAATAACAGAAATGCAGTATTAAAGAAAGCTCATCATAGATTTTTATAGGTTAAATTTTGTAAAAGACTATTTAAATATTCAATAAATCTTAAATTCTAGTTAAGATTTTATAACAATAATATTAATCTGAGAGGCTCAAAACCTGTTGGGTGTTCCTAAAACTTTGAGGCCTGTAAAACTCAACTACAGAGCTGAGAAACCTCGTTCAGGTTTTTAGGCTGTATATTAAAAAAGGAGTTGCAGACTCCAAAAGATTATTAGATGGTTGGCTAAGTTACTAAGCTCAGGGGCTGAGCTCCTTGGAATCTTTAATTTCTCTTAGGTAGTTAAGGTTGAGTCATCCCCAGAGGCAGGAGGGATATGATGACATCTTCAGGTGTGTCCATCCTATGATTCTTCACTCTGGGTTCTTCTGGGAAGAGATGGATCTATGACTACAGGGCAAGATACCTAGGAGAAGAAGGAGACTTGTATGTGATATTCTCAAGGAGCAATTCTGGATTTCTCCCAATCCCTATTTTCTTCATTTTGAGACCTGTCTTAGCTATCTAGTGCTGTTCTAACAGAAATACCAGAAGTGAATGTCTTTAACAAACAGAAATTTATTCTCTCTCAGTCTAGGAGCCTGGAAGTCCAAATTCAGGGCACTAGCTCATGGGGAAGGTTTTCTCTCTTTCGGTTCTGGGGGAAGGTCCTTGTCGTCAATCTTTCCCAGGTCTAGGAGCTTCTCACTGCAGGGACTGCAGGTCCAAAGGACGCACTCTGCTCCTGGCACTTCTTTCTCCGTGGCTTGAGTTTCCTATCTCTGTGCTCGCTTCTCTCTTTTTATCTGTTGTAAGATAAAAGGTGATGCAGGCCACACACCAGGGAAGTCTCTTTACATTGGATTAGGGCTGTGACCTGAGTAAAGGTGTTGCATCCCACTCTAATCTTCTTTGACACATAACCTAATCTTGCCTCATTAACCACAGGCAGAGATTAGGATTTACAACACATAGGATAATCACATCAGATCACAAAATGGTGGACAACCACACAATACTGGGAATCATGGCCTAGCCAAGTTGACAGACGTGTTTTTGGGGACACTATTCAGTCCATGACAGGACCTCTCTAATCACCATCTTCCAGAGGCTTTCCAGGCCCACTATCACTTCTGTTCTGACTCTGTTATGCTTGTTCTTGATTTTTTTCTCAGACTTGTGATGCTCTGGAGCCCTGGTGGTGCAGTAGTTAAGAGCTATGGCTGTTAACCAAAAGGCCAGCAGTTCTAATCCACCAGCTGCTCCTTGGAAACCCTACAGGGCAGTTCTACTCTGTCCTGCAGGGTTGATATGAGTCAGAATCGACTTGACAGCAGTGGGTATGATGCTCCAGCTTTTAAAATCATATTTTCTGAATCAGACATCATCTAGTCCAGCTGGCTCTCTTGACACGTGAAGAAATGGAAGCCCAAGTTCTGAAATGTCTTATCCAAAGTCTCACAAGTTAAGCAGAATCTTAACAGAATCTGGATTTGGACTTAGTATTTCTGACTTGTGCGCATGCCATTTCTAAAAGGAAAAGTCAGAAATGTCCTTCAGACCTGGAGAAATTGGCCAGCATCTGAGTTTTGGAAATGTACGGAATTATGTTGATTTATTAAACTGCTTCACATATGGGCCAGGGCGTATATTTAAATATCTTGCACTTGGACTCTCTTCTGTTGACCCGTATTCCAGCAGGCGTGGGATCAGCTTCTGGGTCCTTCCTTTGCATGCCCCTCTTGGCCCTACCCTTTGTCTTCATTCTCAAGAAACCAAGTGAGGTGTGACTGTGAGCCAACCAGGGGTAGGAGCTGTGCCCAGGTTGTGTAGCTAAGTACTTGCTTCCTTGCATTCACTCTTTCGGAGTGCAGTGTGGCCCAGGGCTGTCTTCGAGGCACTGTAGTTGGTCATGTGGAGTCCTGAGAGTGGAGAAAGAGCTGAGATGGACCTGGAGACTTAGAGGAGGTCTCAAAGAACTTTGGAGACTTAGAGGACTCAGCAAGAAAGTAAGATAATGATTGGTTTAATTTAATACAGGCTCATGTAGACCAAGTAATGACTTAGGGTTGAAAAAAAAGGGTCAAA